ACCAGACTCTGATTCAGGACAACTTCCCAGGTAACCTCTGACCATCCGAGACAGCCCTCAATTCTTACTTGTAGTTTGTAGCTAGAGTTTTCCTGCCTGGCCCACAGTCAGGACAAATCTCTCTTACCCGCCAGTCCCACAGCTGCTCAGACCCAACCAAGCAAACACAGAGACCTATATTGGTTACAAACTGTATGGCCATGGCAGGCTTCTTGCTAACTGTTCTTACAGCTTAAATTAATCCATTTCTATAAATCTATACCTTGCCACATGGCTCATGGCTTACCGGCATCTTCACATGCTGTTTCTCATTGTGGCGGCTGGCAGTGTCTCTCTGACTCAGCCTTCCACTTCCCAGCTTTATTCTCCTCCTTGTCCCGCCTATACTTCCTGCCTGGCCACTGGCTAGTCAGTGATTTATTTATTGACCAATCAGAGCAACACATTTGCCATACGGAACATCCCACAGCAGTAGTTCTCAAGATTAGCTAGAACGTACTAGAGTATAACACTCTGAAATGAGGAAGGAGCTAGCTAACAGAGCCTACAAGCAGGACACCATGCAATACTTCAGCCCAGAAAGTTTTGTCTTTCCAGGGCCTTACACCTATGACCAGATGTTCAGTCTCTCAGGTCCAGTGCAGACAGGCCTCACAGAGAAGAGACCACCTCTACCCTGGAAAACTATCCTTAGCTTTAGGTGTTCAACTCACTCTAACTCCTATCTGCTATATCTGATTTCCCTCACTGTCTAACAGCAAGAAACAAGTCCACCTCATACCATTTGCTGTGTGGGGATTGTTCTAGTTCCCTGCACACAGATATGTAGCACAGCAATACAATAGTGACGCTGGGAGTCAGTAACACACACACACACACACACACACACACACACACACACACACACACACACTTACTTCAGTAGACATGAAATGCCAGAACTCCCTCCAAAGAAGGACTTGTTGACCTAGATGCTGAAGGCCATTTCAATCAGTATTTAGCTGTCAGATGCAGAAAGGCCCCCTGACCCAAAGTCTCGTCTTTACCTGATTGACCCACATACGGTGATCCAACCTGTGGAGGCTATTTGGGCCAATGCAAAGCAACTCAGGAGGCCATTTTAGCTTCAGAGGTCTATGTTGTCAACCAAGGTAAAGGCCCTGTCCCTCTTCTTCTGCCCTCCCTCCGTAGCTGTTTCCATACATATGATATCCCTTAGGAATATCTCTAGTAATGACCCAGTATGCTAGCTTCATGTCTGAATCTGTCTCCTGAAAAGCCTCATAGGCAATACAGGAAATTCCCACCCAGGCCCATCACCTGACATGCCTTTGGGTAGCCGGGGCTCCCTGCCCAAGTCTCTGAATCTTGCTGATCTGGGATTTAGAAGTTGACTTTACTGCAGGAGGCAAAGCGGGCAGGTAAGCACACTCCAGAGAGACTTGAAAGCGTGGGGATCCCGGGCAAGAGCTACATCTCTGGTGAGAGCAAACAGGGTCCTCTGTGGATGGTTCCTTGATGTGCGGAGATGAGTCATAGCTAGTGACGGCACAGAAAGGAGATTCCGATATCATTCTCTCCAACCCAGCCTTGCTGTGAGTATTGTCAAAAAACTCACAGAGAATTGGGACGTCTTATCAATGACTAACCATGGAAAGAGCATCTCACAACTTAAATTTGCTTATTTTGTCCTTGAATTCTCCTCCCCTGCAAATGCCATGTCGATTGAGATGACTTCTCCTAAGAGGTGCGGGAAGACTAATAGGCTTCCATCGTACAATTGTTCACTTAACTCTCACCTCCTGGTGGTCTTTGGAAATGTGTTTGAAGCTATTGTAGCTTTTTAATTGTACTTTAATGAATTCTTGGGGGAAGAGTGTGATTAAAAAGGATATACACCTGCTGAAGAGTGAGCTAATAATACATCTTTATAAGAAAGACGTGATCAAAGGCATCTCTGGATTATATTCATTTATCAAGTCATGGAACTAAATAAAAAAATACATGTCAAAATACTTACAAATGATTCTAATTTAATATTAGCTAAGGCCATGAATACTGTTCCCAAATGAGCAAGCTGTGTAGGAAATGAAAGTGTGCCAATGGGAATGAGAAGTCATAACTGAATAATTGAGGAGGAAAGTTCTAAAGGTGATCCCTAAAATACTTGAGTGTAGGCAGATGATGTGCATCATTTAGCAAAAGATCTTCATCATTAATACCTGGGATTGTGTCTTAAGAATGTATCTTCCAGGGTGGTGGTGGAGCACGCCTTTAATCCCAGCACTTGGGAGACAGGGGCAGGCAGATCTCAGTGAGTTCGAGACCAGCCTGGTCTACAAAGTGACTGTTACACAGAGAAACCCTGTCTCAAAAAAAAAAGCTTAAGTAGCTGAATTCTTCCCTACAACACACAACAGAATCATTTAGTCCTTTGGAAGTAGAACTGTAGGAAAAGGTAACTTTTGATATCTTTTTAATGCTTTATTCTGTGTGTCTGGTGTTTTTCCTGCGCATGTCTGTGCACCACTTGCATCTCTGGTGTCTGAGAAAACCAGAAGAAGGTGCTGGGTCCCTTGGAGCTGGGGCTATAAGCAGTTGTGATCCCCCATGCTGGGTGCCAGGAATTGAGCTCAGGCCCTCTGGAAGGGTACTCAGTGCCCTTAACCACTGAACCATTTCTCCGGCCCCTGGGATAATTTCAAAGCTCTATTAAGATGTCATCTTTAAGAGTCAAAATCAAATTTCAAAGCTCATGTATCAACTCTCACTATTAAGGACTTAAGTTTGGATGTTGTTGGGATTTTTGTTTTGTTTTGTTTTTTCTTCTTGTAGGGGAGTTGGTTTGGAGCAGAACTGAGTTTCCATGGGAACCCAGGGTTTTAAATCAATAAGAAGCCCTGACCAAGCAGCCAGAAACCCCATGCAACCAGGGCAAGGCTGGTCTACATATGCATCAGGAAGACAGATTGGGCTGTAAATTGACCCAGTCAATGGTGAAGAAAAAGATAGCCCAAAACAAATGGTGCCCCATGGAGATCATTCATTCTGTCAATTTTACTGGCTAATAGGCCTCTATTAAGGTTTGATATATGAAGGAACTAGGCTCATCGGTATAGTTAATCAATCCTGAAAGCTATGGCCAGTGTCAGCTTCAGAGCACAGATCTACCTAGGAAATCATCCTAGACCCTTTCCTTGCCTGCACTTGACATTGCAAAATAGATGTGTGACATTCCAGACATATCAGATCAATGTGCTTTGGGAGTTTGAGAGATGCGTCCCTGAGGCTCTGAGGAGCAGCATCTTGTGCAGGCCCCGGGCACAGCTCACCTGAGTTCCAGGCGTTGGTGCCAATTCCTCAGTTACACTCAGCAGATCACTGTCCAAGCTCCAGCGAATAAATTTATTCCAGGGAATAAATGAATTCAGATCAGCCAATTGCTTCTATCTCACAGAACCCCATGCCCAGAAAATGTGACCCATGTCATCCAAAACATGGTTCTACACTATTCTTGAAGATCAGTAGCCCACAGTGCCCTAGCCACTGCTTCATGCTAGGGAGTTTTTGGGTGTTTAAAGGTCATCGCCATCTCTTCATTTTCTAGTGTCCTGTGAGAAAGACACTTTGAAAATTCTTCTGGTAGAAATATATATTAGCTGCCATGTTCACAGCAGCTTTGTGGATTAAATAAGAAAATATTCTTTACACAGTAAAGATCTTTTAATGTTCCAGAGTTGTTTGCATCAAAACCACATGTTGTATCCTCATCCCTAAGCCCCCCTGGGCATTGTTCTGCAGGTTCTTGGTCTGTCTTCATTTCTGACAATTGCTGACATGACAAAAAGTCATCTTCAGGAAGCAGACAACGTTCCTGAGGGACTGGATTTCTGTGTCATTAAAAAGTATGAATAGGAGCTAGAAAGATGACACACTGCTCTTGCAGAGGACCCAGGTTCTATTCCCAGCACCCACACTAGGCTGCTCACAACTCCCTGTAACTCAAGCTCCAGGTGATCTGGTGCTTCTTCTACCCTCTTGGGCAAATACACACACACACACACACACACACACACCTTTTAAATCTTTTTTTAAAAGTATGAACTGAGAGTAAAGCATCTTTCATTGCTAAGAGCAGGTCTTGATGAGTCCCTTCATTAAAAAAGGTCACCTTCTTGACTTGTGTATTTTATGGGAGAGAAGTCTCTTTACTTAGCCGCACAGAATAGCCTGTTACTTATTAAATGGACCATTATAGAATTACCAGTCAGTGGTGTCGATTACTTTTAGTCTCCTGTGAAACTATTTTCCTAAGTTAAAGATGCATAAACAGAGGTCTGCTTGGGTGGAAGCTAGATGTGAGAAGGCTTTGGAAATGCACTACTGCTTGCAAGAACCCTAAGAGAAAGACAGGTTGTAATGGGGATTACTGTGGGATGTGCTCTGGAATAGCCATACAAAGCAGGTTAAATCCAAAGTAGGTAGTTGTCCAAACAGTATGTGTTTGCAGGCAATTGGGATATACTCAGAAAGTGCACATCCTTTATCTCAGGTGCAAAAAAAGGAGGGGCAGTTTGAGCAGGGATGGGGGCCAGCAGCTAGCACTAGGTCCCAGGAGCAATGGGTAGGATAGACTGAATAGGGCACCAGGCATGGTTTTGGATCTAGATCAGTGTGAGCAAAACTCTAGGTTCAGGCCCTCCCCTCAGACTAATCTTACTGGCTGCACCCCCTCCACACTCACATATGCGTTCCAGAGGGATTTCAGCCTAGTGGGAGGCAGTGAAGGGACCCCACTCTTCACATCTCACCAAAGCCCACAGAGAAGCTCCTACAACAAGCCCGACATCACTGATGCTGGAGTTTAGGACTTATTAGTGACATGAGGGGACAGGTGCCCCTGGGGATCTAAATCCCAAAGGCTCCCCCAGCACTGGGAACCCACATTTTCAGGTTCACTTTGGAGAGGAACGGCGCCCGCCCGTTTTCGCGCCTTCCCGAGTCCATCGTGGCTTAAAAAAGGCTGGGCGAAGGGTGGGCGCCTGGGGTAGGCTCCATCTCTGGGCCCCCACCGCCGCCGCTGCCTCTCCTGCGATGCTGATGCCTGCCTGCCGCTGTGTCGCCTTGGTTCTCCAGCGTGCGGCGCTGTGCCCGCTTTTATCCCGAGAGGAGAAGCGTCGCTTAGTGCGCTGACAGCGCGCTTCAGTCTGTGGGGCTGAAGCCCAGTAGCATTCATTCAGTCTGCGGCTTTCATGAAGTCTCCCTGCGAGGTCCTTCACTTTGCTCCTAAACGTGGATTTTTTTCCCCCTACCATTCTCGGCTCGCTCCCCCTCCTTGCCGCCGGACTCCCTCCTCCGTCCCTGCCCACACGCACACTCCTCTGCCCCGCGGTGGCCCCAGCGCCCAGCCCTCCAGCCAGAGGGAGCCAGTCACCAGACGGCAGCACCTGGCTGGAGAGGTTGGGCGGGCCGAGGGTGGGGATCCGCGGGAACCGGCGAGCCTGGAGCTGGAGCAGAAGCTGGACCGACCGCGATCAGAAGAATGGAGTCTCCCGACAGCCTGCCGAGGCTGATGTGAAATAGGACCATCTGCTTCCAGTTGGTCTGTTTCCTCTTCTTTTTGTATTTTCTTCCCTCGCCATTCTCAGTGGAGTGAATTATTAAATCTTGCTCCGTTCCAAGAGAGGCAGGCGATCACGATGGAGTGAACCCACCCAGTCCGCCACAAGGTAAGCAGTGAGCTAAGTTGCTGGAAGGCTAGGAGCTGGCATGGATCCCATCCAGATGTTCTGCGTCCTAGGATCCCCGAGCCTTTGGGTCCTGGCTCCCAGGTCCCCAGCCCCACTGTGGCTGCGTGCATTCCCCACTCTGAGGAGACATGATGCTGAAGTCCACCAGAGGCAGGAAAAGCTAGTTACATAACCTAAAGGAAATGTGTCTCATGGGTTTTCATTAGCAGCTTAAAAACTCGCCTGGGGGGCGGCAGGAGGAGGGGTCTGCCTGCCCTGGGCGCGAGAGAATGGGTCAGTTACTATGGACCTCATTTCAGCACCTCTGGTGAAGACCAAACACACTGATGATCGGCAGGCAGGCGCGGCTGGCGGGTGTAGGCAGGGAGAGTTAGGAAAAGCCCATTGTCTTGGTTGAAGGCTGTAGCCTTGCTCTGTTTTGGCATAAAGAGGAGAGGATGCGAAGGAGGAAAAGTGAGGAGAGGGAGGAATAAGCCATGAGACAGGGGAGGACTCCACATGGTCTCCATCAATAAACCTGAGATGTAGCATACTGATTGAAGACACCAACTAAGAAGATGTCTCCACAAGTAAACTAACTGAAAGGAGGGAGCACCTCGGATCAAACGAGGTGTTTACAGCATTTAGGGGGCTGGGTGAATCTTACTGACTTAGCTGGGTATGTATTCATTTGCATCAAGACGTTAAGCTTGCGTTAGTTTTTTAACTGAAATGGCATTCGTATTCCCCAAGCCTAATGAAGCCCTGGGTGGATCCACAGGTATATACAGGGCTCAATATGGAAAGACTCTTAAGGGGAAAACAGATCTTCATAGAAACAATCACAGAAGCCAGGTGAGCTTAGTGGGAAAGGGAATAACACAATTTTCCAAAGAATCCCTTCTCCACCTCTACTCCTCTCCAAACACACAGACACAAAAAGAGGGGAACCCCTCCAGTGTCTGGGAGTTGGCAATCCATTGCATCTTTAAGGCGTCCCCGACTGCTTTATCCAAAGTCTCGGGGTCCTGGGGAGCACACAGGTACCTAGCACTGGGCCACTTTTCTGCAAGCACTGTGCCCCTGGCTAAAAAAACAGAGAAAGGGAATATCGAAGAAAGTGGGCTTCCTCCCGTCAGGGCTGAGCTAACTAAGCTTCGCCCATTTTGCCTGGAGAAGGAAGGAGCTGAGTCTCCATGACGACCCGGATGGGAGGGGACAGAGCAGCTCCAGTGACAGGAAAACCGTTGGACAAAACTTTCTTGGCTCCAGGCAAAGAAATGCCCGCCGTGTGCCCTATGGGGAAGGGTTCTAGGGCATCACCTGGGCCCAGCTCCCTAGGGGTGACCCGTGAGAGGGTACTAAGACCAGGTTCTCCTCCCACACAGCAGAAGTTTCCCATGTCCGCGAATGCAGTTCTGAGCAAGCTCCCGGTTCAGCACCAAGGCCAGAGCAAGGTGCAGGCGGGTTCATCTCCCTAGTAGGATGGCTGGCAATCCAGCTAGCAAGCTCTAGAGATTTTTGGTTATAGGAAGGCAATCGTGTCCTAAAAAATTACCTGCTTGTGCTGAAAACGGGTGTCAGATTACCCATGGAATTACGTGGCACACAGGAGACAGCAAATCAACCGTTCCATGCATGATGGTGCACCAAAGTAACCGTTCAAAATAAAAAACACTGGAACTACAGAAGACTAAAGCTGACCTAAGAATGGAGAAAAGATCCCTCCTCAGGGAAGGGAAACACTACACACACACACACACACACACACACACACAGAGAGAGAGAGAGAGAGAGAGAGAGAGAGAGAGAGAGAGAGAGACCCTGAAGAAACAGTTGAACCAAGTGTCTCAGGCTCACAGAAAGCATCCATTGGCCCCTGCTCCTCTCATGCTCTTCTGTAACTTTGTGTTAGACACAGTGTCAGGAAGGTGGTGTGATGGCATCCTGATCAGTTTGGGACCAGCCAACCAACTCCTGCCTGGGGTCCTTAGATCCAAGAGAGTGGAGAAGAAGCAGTTTGCTCTTCATTCGGACTTGGCTGGATCCTCAGCAAAGTGGGGAGCTCTTGGGCTAGGGAGGTAGAAGCCTGTAGTGAGCTCTTCAAGCCAGCGTGGGAGCGAAGCAGCTGGTTTTCCAGGATTACAGACACAGCAACGTGGACAGAATCATTCCTATCAATATAGACAAGGGAGAACCCGTGCAGGGGAAGAGGTTTATTATTCAAGCTCATTTGGACATTGATCCAGGTGAGTACAAGGATCCACTCAGTCTTACCTTACTGGAAGCTGGCCACTGCTTTGCTTTTTCCATCAGTGGTCCTAGGTCCCCACTGATCATGGATGATGAAGAAAATAGTGCAGGTAGTCATATGTCAAGTGAAAAAAAAAAAAGCCTTGAACAGTGGCATCTGAGTGCAGTGGGTACAGTTTAAACTGTGGAACTTCACCAAGGTTTAAGGAGTAAAAGAAATGCCAGGAGCACTTCTAGGGTACCCCCTGCTGCTTTCCTCTCAAGGACTCCTTTGTGTGTGAGATCATGAGCTGGCCCTGACTTGTTATTCATAAAGGTAAACACAGTGAACTTGGGTATACAGCTGGTCTTTCCAACACCACGGATGTGTTGTTGTTCCTAAAGATAATGCGTGCGGAGTACTTGGATGTGGCTAGAGCAATGTGTTGACGGCTGTTAGACTTTCGCACTCATCTCTAGCTAGCAAAGGTAGAGCTGTGCATTCTGAACATGGACAGAGGGTTGAGAGATTATAACATTGCTTGAATTTCAGATCCTGATGGATGTTGACAAGTTTAGCCATGTTTTAATTTATACGGCTTGTTATCTGAAATAGAAGTGATGTGTAGAGTATTTTGGGACTTAAACAAGCTGTACTCTGGCTTTGATCCATCTGCTATTACCAACAGAAGGGAAGTGAAGATCAGAAGCATGCGATAATGGAGACTGTTAGATAAAGAAAGTGGCCTGTCTGTGAGTTTTAAAGTTCAGATCCTCTCACAAACTTTAGAAGAGATGGCTGTGTATAAACCAAGCACAGGAAACTTCTCCATCTTTAGTTCCAGTGAATTCTGTTATAATCAACCGATTTCTTGACCAGTAGCCTTTAGTCATGGTGGAGTCTAAGCTCATAGACTCAGTACTAATTTTCCAAACTATGACTTGCTTACTTCCTGGGTGGCTAATTACTTGACAAAGTGCCATTATATCCTTATGTAGCCAACAGCGCACTCCAGATTAATTGGTTTACCCATTGCAAGTAAAATTAGTTAAGGAGAAAAACTTCATAAAATCCATCCCTGTATGCAAATCTGTTTTGAATTCTTCAAAAATTATACCGATGCCTCACTTTCACATTTCTGTAACATCAGCGAGCAGTGCGCTCATGTCTGTGGCCCAGGCCTTTACTGCGTCTGTAGCACTTCCGGCGATGGTTTCCTCTGAGCTGTGCAAGTGGTTTTGTTCTCTCCCGTGTTCCTCCCCCTCCTCTTGCAAACCACCTCTCCTTTACAGACTTTTTTAAAATAGAAAAATAGCTTTAGAGTGAACAGCAGGGAGGCTCATTGACAATTACAATGGGTGAATCAACCTGTATGGAACCTTAGCACCAACACTTGATGTTCACAAGCAGACAACGAGTCTGCCTTCCAGGGTTCAGTACTGATGGGAATCTGTGTGAAGAGAAGCTCTGCCTAAAACATGACAAAACAAAAAAGCTCATCCTTGACCAAACAGAATAAAAGTAACATGTAAGTTCCAAAGGAAAGCCAGTCAGAGAAAAACCAAGTAAGAGGGAGGAGAGGAACACAGAGAAAGGCAGCTATTGGTTTTTCTCTAAAGTGATCATTCTTTCCAAATCACATTTTCAATGGCTTGTATCGGAACTTTGAGCTTGATGAAGTTAGATGTTTAAATGTAATTAATTTAGATTTAGAACTTAATGAGATGGTACGTACCTATTATTTCCTTAATTTGTAATAATTTTCACATAAGTGCCAAAAGAGAATTAATTCATCCTAGAGTTTTACGAAACTATGGAATTTGCTCATATCAGGAAAGTGGAATTGCTTGCGAAGATGAAAGAGTATTTCGGTGCTCCCGATCCATTAAAAGCTTCGTTTCAGTTGTAGTTTCCATTCGCTGTCGTTGAAGTATTTGGGAATCCGGCAAAGTAGCATGCAGCCATTTGGGATAAAAAGTGTATCTTGAATAATGACAAAAAGTTATTTCTAGAAACAGTTAAGATCCTTTACAGATGGGATCATAGTGATCTCAGTTGACATGCTAATGGAATTCAAGGTTCTTCCTTGCATTGCCCTAAACTGCGCACCTACTTGATATCATTCAATAGCATTAATTAATGGCAATATTAGCTGCCTTTAATAGAGTCCACCTATCCTTAAGTGTGTCCTAAGCTGTAGCCTTCATGCAGTCATACCTCAGACTAATTATATTCATTTGCTTATTAATGGTTACTTAAACAAAAGCTCAAAGAATGACTTTGCTCAGTGATCAATGCTCAAATAGTCGTTCAAATTGCTACACTATTCAGAAGTCGGTAAGACCATCTATTGACTGCCCTAATCACAACACAGAAAGATCATGCTGAATCTTAACCAAATGCTGGTTGGATTTGCACCTTGCCAGATGCACCCATGCTGAACTGAGATCCTTAACCCCTTCCTTCTTGTGATTTGTGTAGCTCCACTACTCACCTTTGATCTGGGACTATGAACTGATGACACTTTCAGTGAATAGATTTTGGCTAACTCTCTTCCACCCTCCATCCCAGCATCCAATCCTTAGCCACAGAGATACCATTTCTGGTGTGAAATCTTAGTAAAAGAACTGGTAGGTCCATCTGTGGGTTAAAAGATCCTCATGCAGGAGATGCTGTGGGAGACAACCTGAGAGCAGTAATGCACCAGGGAAAAACACACTGGCAGGTTTAGTTAACCCCAGTTCCGGACAATTTCTCTTTAAACTTC